GTATGTATACAGAAAGATTAGGATGATACAGAGAGATTAAGGTATGTATACAGAAAGATTAGGATGTTACAGAGAGATTAAGGTATATATACAGAAAGATTAGGATGATACAGAGAGATTAAGGTATATATACAGAAAGATTAGGATGATACAGAGAGATTAAGGTATATATACAGAAAGATTAGGATGATACAGAGAGATTAAGAGTATGTATATATACAGGAAAGATTAGGATGATACTGAGAGATTAGGATGATACAGAGAGATTAAGGTATATATACAGAAAGATTAGGATGATACTGAGAGATTAGGATGATACACAGAGATTAATGTATGTATACAGAAAGATTAGGATGTTACAGAGAGATTAAGGTATATATACAGAAAGATTAGGATGATACAGAGAGATTAAGGTATATATACAGAAAGATTAGGATGATACAGAGAGATTAAGGTATATATACAGAAAGATTAGGATGATACAGAGATATTAAGGTATATATACAGAAAGATTAGGATGATACAGAGAGATTAAGGTATATATACAGAAAGATTAGGATGAGAGAGATTAAGGTATACAGAGAGATTAAGGTATATATACAGAAAGATTAGGATGATACAGAGAGATTAAGGTATATATACAGAAAGATTAGGATGATACAGAGAGATTAAGGTATATATACAGAAAGATTAGGATGATACAGAGAGATTAAGGTATATATACAGAAAGATTAGGATGATACAGAGAGATTAAGGTATATATACAGAGAGATTAGGATGATACAGAGAGATTAAGGTATATATACAGAAAGATTAGGATGATACAGAGAGATTAAGGTATATATACAGAAAGATAAGGAAGAAACAGAGAGATTAAGGTATATATACAGAGAGATTAGGATGATACAGAGAGATTAAGGTATATATACAGAAAGATTAGGATGATACAGAGAGATTAAGGTATATATACAGAAAGATTAGGATGTTACAGAGAGATTAAGGTATATATACAGAAAGATTAGGATGATACAGAGAGATTAAGGTATATATACAGAAAGATTAGGATGTTACAGAGAGATTAAGGTATATATACAGAAAGATTAGGATGATACAGAGAGATTAAGGTATATATATACAGGAAAGATTAGGATGATACAGAGAGATTAAGGTATATATACAGAAAGATTATGATGATACAGAGAGATTAAGTTATATATACAGAAAGATTAGGATGATACAGAGAGATTAAGGTATATATACAGAAAGATTAGGATGATACAGAGAGATTAAGGTATATATACAGAAAGATTAGGATGATACAGAGAGATTAAGGTATATATACAGAAAGATTAGGATGTTACAGAGAGATTAAGGTATATATACAGAAAGATTAGGATGATACAGAGAGATTAAGGTATATATACAGAAAGATTAGGATGATACAGAGAGATTAAGGTATATATACAGAAAGATTAGGATGATACAGAGAGATTAAGGTATATATACAGAAAGATTAGGATGATACAGAGAGATTAAGGTATATATACAGAAAGATTAGGATGATACAGAGAGATTAAGGTATATATATACAGGAAAGATTAGGATGATACAGAGAGATTAAGGTATGTATACAGAAAGATTAGGATGTTACAGAGAGATTAGTATGATACAGAGAGATTAAGGTATATATACAGAAAGATTAGGATGATACAGAGAGATTAGTATGATACAGAGAGATTAAGGTATATATACAGGAAAGATTAGGATGTTACAGAGAGATTAGTATGATACAGAGAGATTAAGGTATATATACAGAAAGATTAGGATGATACAGAGAGATTAGTATGATACAGAGAGATTAAGGTATATATACAGAAAGATTAGGATGATACAGAGAGATTAGTATGATACAGAGAGATTAAGGTATATATACAGAAAGATTAGGATGATACAGAGAGATTAGTATGATACAGAGAGATTAAGGTATATATACAGAAAGATTAGGATGATACAGAGAGATTAAGGTATATATACAGAAAGATTAGGATGTTACAGAGAGATTAAGGTATATATACAGGAAAGATTAGGATGATACAGAGAGATTAAGGTATATATACAGGAAAGATTAGGATGATACACAGAGATTAAGGTATATATACAGAAAGATTAGGATGATACAGAGAGATTAAGGTATATATACAGAAAGATTAGGATGATACACAGAGATTAAGGTATATATACAGAAAGATTAGGATGATACACAGAGATTAAGGTATATATACAGAAAGATTAGGATGATACAGAGAGATTAAGGTATATATACAGAAAGATTAGGATGATACACAGAGATTAAGGTATATATACAGAAAGATTAGGATGATACACAGAGATTAAGGTATATATACAGAAAGATTAGGATGATACAGAGAGATTAAGGTATGTATACAGATTTAGGATTGTTGAACAAGAAAATTTAACAAGATTGCAAGTGAAGAGGTGGACTTAGAATGAAACAGGAAAACTGAGTTTGGAGTAAGGTTGGAGGATGATTGAATGTTTTGTGTTAATAATGGCTAGGAAATGATACAAGTACAATTGGAATATTGAAAAGTTGCCAGAACCTGCTGTTAGATTGAGAAAGGAAACCTGAAACTCATAAAAAAGAATCAACCGGTTCCTTATAAAGCAGTTCAATTTCAGAACTAAATTGTTTTGAAATTTTGAAGGCTTCCTTAAAGTATGATGTAGTATATGTCATCTCTAAATTGACCGATTGGTTAGATTCATTTGCCTGGTGTTGTTTAGAATTTAGAGATTTTCAATTACATCCCACAATACGTAAGGTTTCCAGTTTTAAAGCTACATTTTCTTAATATTGAAATATCGTTCATAGCACTAAAAAGTAGCTCTCATTTATCATGGATCTTGCGGTACTTTACATCACCAAATTCTACCTTTATCTCGATGTGTGACACGTTGAAGCTCAATAATCGGAGAAGCCTCTGAATAGCGAAGCTAGCTGGTATAAGCTGTAGCATGCGATGATTGATAAGGCGATGAACCCTTACAACGGTGACATCTCAACAACGCTTCTTCGATGTATGGATGATAAAATGATGGCGTACATATAGCTTGTACACGTACCTCTCATACAGGTGCATTCTACAGATAAAGAGTGGCCAACACATATACATGTAGTGGAGACTAATTTGCTGAATAAACTATTAAGAAAATTTTCAGTGATGATTTGGTCAAATTAGAGAAAATTGAAATTTAAGATTCAATTTGTATGTTAACTGAGTAAATATAATGTCATAACGTGCGATAGGATTTTGGAGGAAAAATTGAAATAATTTGAAAAAAAAAATCAATAAAGAAAACAATTGTGAAAAAGTCAAGTAGATCAGTGTGTTTATGTGAGGAGGGTTTCGAAAGATGCACGAGAGGAAAAAGACTTGTGTTTTGATTGAATCAATTTTATCAGAAATTATAATGATCAAGAGTAGACGTTTCATTTTGTGAGAACTGGATTGGATCTGAGTGTGTCAATACATGATTACCCTATTGAATAAGAAATGATCTAAATCTCCTATCACTTCAATCACATTTCGTAATGATTCCAACAGGGAACTCTAACGGAAACTGGATAAAAATTGTACGAGTTTTTCTGTTTTTGTATAGAGAATTGATAAAATGAAGATAGGATGTAGACCGCTATCATGGCCACTGATTCCATTTTAATTTATTCATGGTTACACCTCAGTGATTGTAATTGGTATGTTACTGTAAAGGTCCCAGAATATCGATCAAGCTGCTTGTATGATTCATTGAACTTTTCTAAATTGTCCTTCAACAATGACGGCCGATGTTCAATACTATTGTCCTATATTAAGCACCCTCACCCTTACCATCGCCCTCACCCTCACCCTTACCATCGCCCTCACCCTCACCCTCACCCTTAACATCACCCTCACCCTTAACATCGCCCTCACAGCAAAAGTAAGAGGGAAAAAAAAGAAAAGGACAAATATAGAATAAGCCCAGCAGACCAAGACATAAAGTTTGACTGGAAAGAGCTGGCAGGCTTTATACTGGATAATGAAATGTTATTTTGTAGGAGTTGTCCTAAACTCTTATAAATAGGAGTAGGCTTATTGCCAAACATGGGCTTATTAGCTTCGGGTCCAACACAAAGAAACATTGACTCTGGGATAGAGATAGGCTTACAACAGCACAATGTGACGACATTTGTTAAAATCTTGACTGAAGAGCAGTAGACATGGATGTGCTTATTACAAGAGGTGGGCTTATTAGCTTCGGGGCCAACACACAGAAAGATCAACTCTGGGATAGAGACAGGTTTACAACAGGGCAATGAAATGACATTTGTTAAAATCTTGACATAGATGTGCTTATTACAAGGGGTGGTGTTTTTATCAGACATGGGCTTATTATCAGATAATGTGTTTTAGTTTTGAATTCATATGCATCTTTATGAAAAATTAGATAATTTTTAAATCATCAAAAAAACTTTATCATGTACAATTAATCAAAATTTATTGTAATTTGCTTTGTTGATCATCTAGAGTTTTAACAATAATGAGACAACATTCAAATATTTGATCAAACTATACGTTTTACTACCCAGGGACTAAGTGCAGTTTTAAGGGTTCATGTTGACTATATATGTTCTATGATCAACCCTTAATGGTAGAAGTCTGAACCGAGTTATCAGTTCAGTCATGAATGTAATTGAATGTTGAGTCCTTGTTTATAAGTAACTGGGTTCATTATGGTATCCTGGCTAGTCTGCGATAAACTCAAATAAACAATCACGAAACTAAAAGGCACTGTAATCATCAATTATTACAGCATTTTTCAGTTGTAAACAAATATTTACCATTTGCATTTGTGTAAACAAATATTTACAATCTGTAATGTCGATATATTGGAATATCTGAATTTAGCTTTGTATCCATGGATTATTTTGTATTAATTAGGGACAAAGGAGGCAGAAAAGCCACAAGATTTAACAGAAACTGACGAACCTGCTGAAGAAAATAGCGATGAAATCTCTGAGAAAGAGGCTGAGAGAGTTCTGTCTGCAATGGAATCAGAAATGGGAGCTGTTCCGAATGAGGACAAGAGAGTCCTTGGAATACCTGTTGTGGGATCAATGATGAAGGAAGGTTGGTTTCATAATTCATCTTGAATTAGGGCCATGTCCCCAAATAAGCCCACCTGCCATTTCAGTAGAAATTCCAACTAATGCTTTTTCATTGTCCAGTAGTAAGCCCATGTAACTGTTTTTAGTATAAGATAGTGATGGTTTCCTTTAAAACTTAGATCAGGTAACAAAAACACCAGATCATTCCACGTTAGTCTATTTTAGTGTAAGCAGGTTTATGGTGTGGTAAAAATAAATTGGATTCAGAGTTCATTTGAATCACCTCCATAAGTCTTTTGTCACCAGAATTTTTCTTTTTAGAGGGATAATTTATAGGGTCACAATCAAACACATTGAAAGCTTGTTAGCACCTTACTGGTGGAAACTGGGAGACTTGTTTCCATCCATCAGTCGGTCCTTACATCTCCGACAAAAATTTGTCATAGCTCTAGCAACTTCATATGTGAGGGATTCTCATCAAACTTCATGCACTTAAACAGCATTAAAATATCTTGGTCCAGGGTGCATTAGAGGATTGTTGGGTCAAGGTCAAGTTCACTGTTACTAATTTGTGGAGGACAAAATTAAAAGGAAGCACCCATTTTTTTCACTTTTTTCTATTCATTATGTACCATATGACATCACGATCACTTTCTGACTGGTGCAGCCAATGAAAATAGCTTCAGTGCATATTACATCAGTGACATATGCAAAATTATAACATGTCAGATTCACTGGAAAAGGTTAAATATGTGATATAAGAATTGTGATAGTATCTCTGCAAGCTAGAATTCTGTGCTCTGAACTCTTGACTGAAGTAAATGAATATTGCAGACAAGAAGAATGTGGACATGCCAAAACCTGAGGGCGAGTCTGTCGCACAGACGTCTGCTGAGGACACGAGCGTGGATGACTTTGTCAACACTGACTACGCCTTTGTGGAATTCACTAAGCAGTGAGTGTCCTTTCCTATCATTTGTTATTGCAAATATAGCCGCCCCAACCCCTATCCTTGTATCCCCTGCACATGTTGACAGAGCTGTTCATGTCGACAATATTATACAACAATAACAACCTGAAAATAAAGATGAAATTCCAATTTATTTATTCGTTGACTGGTAATTTCATCAAGCTATATTTTCCAGTCCAAAAGTGAGATGTAAATCCTTCAGTTGAAAAGTGATTCACCTCCCAATACTATATCTATTTATAGGATCTTTATTGGTGGTGAAATTCATAGGAGTGTGAAGCATCACCTACTGTGGAGTTTCATTTCATTGATTTTGTGAAACTGTTAATAGATGAATTCATATGTTCACAAAATGTTGCAATAAGTTTCTTTAGTAGATTTATCAAGTTATTTACTAATGAAATCAAGTTTCCATAAAACAGTATTTAAAAATAAACATGAAAATTGAACTACACCCAAAAAATGTAACTTTACAGTATATAAATTGGTATATCATTGGGATTACAAGATCTCCATTTAGTATCTTACTAGAGTGTTTTCAATTTTTAACAACCATTTTTGTTTTTGCTAGCCTGGACAGAGACACTGCCAGTGCATTTTTGTCTGAGCTTGAACACATGTTGAACACCCCTGTACCATTTGACCCTGCAGAGTAAGTAACTAACATTTTAAATGAAAGAACAAACATCTATGATTTTGAAATCTGAGAGTGGAATTTCTGATTGAAATTGTTTATATTTCAGAATTTAAAAGTTTTATAGCTTAGAGTTATTGAATATGTTAAGAAAAAATCTTGGAGCAGTAGAGTGGGACAGAATCTGGGGGTAGTAGAGTGGGACAGAATCTGGGGGTAGTAGAGTGGGACAGAATCTGGGGGTAGCAGAGTGGGACAGAATCTGGGGGTAGTAGAGTGGGACAGAATCTGGGGGTAGTAGAGTGGGACAGAATCTGGGGGTAGTAGAGTGGGACAGAATCTGGGGGTAGCAGAGTGGGACAGAATCTGGGGGTAGTAGAGTGGGACAGAATCTGGGGGTAGCAGAGTGGGACAGAATGTGGGGGTAGTAGAGAGGGACAGAATCTGGGGGCAGTGGAGTGAGACAGAATCTGGGGGTAGCAGAGTGGGACAGAATCTGGGGGTAGTAGAGTGGGACAGAATCTGGGGGTAGTAGAGTGGGACAGAATCTGGGGGTAGTAGAGTGGGACAGAATCTGGGGGCAGTGGAGTGAGACAGAATCTGGGGGTAGCAGAGTGGGACAGAATGTGGGGGTAGCAGAGTGGGACAGAATCTGGGGGTAGTAGAGTGGGACAGAATCTGGGGGTAGTAGAGTGGGACAGAATCTGGGGGTAGTAGAGTGGGACAGAATCTGGGGGTAGCAGAGTGGGACAGAATCTGGGGGTAGTAGAGTGGGACAGAATCTGGGGGTAGCAGAGTGGGACAGAATGTGGGGGTAGTAGAGAGGGACAGAATCTGGGGGCAGTGGAGTGAGACAGAATCTTGGGGCAGTGGAGTGGGACAGAATCTGGCGGCAGTGGAGTGGGACAGAATCTGGGGGTAGTAGAGTGGGACAGAATCTGGGGGTAGTAGAGTGGGACAGAATCTGGGGGCAGTGGAATCTTTGGGCAGTAGAGTGGGACAGAATCTTTGGGGCCATGGAGTGGGACAGAATCTTTGGGGCCGTGGAGTGGGACAGAATCTGGGTGCAGTGGATTGGGACAAAATCTTGGGGCAGTGGAGTGGGACAGAATCTGGGGGCAGTTGAATCTTTGGGCAGTTGAGTGGGACAGAATCTGGGGACAGTAGCTGTGAAGAGGGACAGAATCTTTGGGGCAGTAGAATGGCAGTCAGGAACAGAGTCTAGGTAGAGTGGAGTGGGACAGAATCTGGGCTCAGTCAGGAACAAATTCTAGGTAGAGTGGAGTGGGACAGAATCTGGGCTCAGTCAGGAACAGAGTCTAGTTAGAGTGGAGTGGGACAGAATCTGGGCCCAGTCAGGAACAGAGTCTAGGTAGAGTGGAGTGGGACAGAATCTGGGCTCAGTCAGGAACAAATTCTAGGTAGAGTGGAATGGGACAGAATCTGGGCTCAGTCAGGAACAGAGTCTAGGTAGAGTGGAGTGGGACAGAATCTGGGCTCAGTCAGGAACAGAGTCCGGGTAGAGTGGAGTGGGACAGAATCTGGGCTCAGTCAGGAACAGAGTCTAGGTAGAGTGGAGTGGGACAGAATCTGGGCTCAGTCAGGAACAAATTCTAGGTAGAGTGGAATGGGACAGAATCTGGGCTCAGTCAGGAACAGAGTCTAGGTAGAGTGGAGTGGGACAGAATCTGGGCTCAGTCAGGAACAGAGTCTGGGTAGAGTGGAGTGGGACAGAATCTGGGCTCAGTCAGGAACAGAGTTTAGGTAGAGTGGAGTGGGACAGAATCTGGGCTCAGTCAGGAACAGAGTCCGGGTAGAGTGGAGTGGGACAGAATCTGGGCTCAGTCAGGAACAGCGTCTAGGTAGAGTGGAGTGGGACAGAATCTGGGCTCAGTCAGGAACAAATTCTAGGTAGAGTGGAATGGGACAGAATCTGGGCTCAGTCAGGAACAGAGTCTAGGTAGAGTGGAGTGGGACAGAATCTGGGCTCAGTCAGGAACAGAGTCCGGGTAGAGTGGAGTGGGACAGAATCTGGGCTCAGTCAGGAACAGAGTCCGGGTAGAGTGGAGTGGGACAGAATCTGGGCTCAGTCAGGAACAGAGTCTAGGTAGAGTGGAATGGGACAGAATCTGGGCTCAGTCAGGAACAGCGTCTAGGTAGAGTGGAGTGGGACAGAATCTGGGGGCATTAGTTGGATGCAATCAAAATTTGAAATAGAAAAAATGATTTAAATTGTTTCTATTTTCTGACATGTCAAGTGAGTTGTAAGTAAATAGGGTATGTAATGATATTTCGGGTTATGGTAAGGAAGGGATTGAGTGTCAAACATTTTAAACAAACTTGATATGAATTTTCTTTGGGAAGATCAAGAAATGGAATAATATGTATTAAAACAGGATATAATTTCGAGAGTATCAAAAGAGGTAGAATATTAAACAAAACATTTCAACACCTATATTTCCATGCCTGCTTAGATATTAGATATCCAGGAGAATAATACTAACTCTTGTTAGCATACATAGGCCTATCGTTAGGAATACGAATGAGAAACATGAAAGTGAGTAATGGTCTGCCTATAGTATTTGGAAAAATAGCAATATTTTTATATATCATGACTAATAAAAGTCTTTACTTCATTCAAGGAACTTTCTTTTTCTAGGGACTATGAGAATCGAATAACATTTTTCGTGAATGAAAAACTGACTCACATGAATGCGTCCACTGTTGCTCGGCTGGTTGGTGAGTACATTTTGGTATTTCTAGTAAAATTAAAGAAAAAACATTCAATTGATGTTGGAATTTTTAAAGCTCCTTGAATCAAAATGGTTACAAAATGTTTAGAAATCTAAAATTAGAATTTAAAATCTTTGTTTATGAAGGTATGGTAACAGCCTAATTGCTGTTTTTATAAATATGTGTTTCTAAAACAGGAATAGGATTGAAATCAATATTTGTATTCTACAGTGTTTTGATGCAATTCAGTCTATCATTTTATACCTTGAATTTAATCATTATGTTTTGTAATCAGCTTTATTATTCCTTATTATATGTATACTGTAGAATTAAATATTTTCATAGGAATCAAATTTTGTGGTAAACATTTATTTTTACGAATAAATGTAGCTTGATAAATCCACTAATTTTAACAGTCCATGGACATATCATTTAATGGATCAAAAATTCATATGAAATAAATGAATAAAACTCTACAAAAATTGAAGATTTTCCAGTAACCATAGGGAGAAGGACGATGTTTATTAGTCACTGTAGTCTACACCAGGTGATCAGCTCACTGTAGTCTACACCAGGTGATTAGCTCACTGTAGTCTACACAAGGTGATCAGCTCACTGTAGTCTACACCAGGTGATTAGCTCACTGTAGTCTACACCAGGTGATTAGCTCACTGTAGTCTACACCAGGTGATTAGCTCACTGTAGTCTACACCAGGTGATTAGCTCACTGTAGTCTACACCAGGTGATCAGCTCACTGTAGTCTACACCAGGTGATTAGCTCACTGTAGTCTACACAAGGTGATCAGCTCACTGTAGTCTACACCAGGTGATTAGCTCACTGTAGTCTACACAACGCGATTAGCTCACTGTAGTCTACAAAGGCGATTAGCTCACTGTAGTCTACACAAGGTGATTAGCTCACTGTAGTCTACACAAGGTGATTAGCTCACTGTAGTCTAAACAAGGTGATTAGCTCACTGTAGTCTACACAAGGTGATTAGCTCACTGTAGTCTACACAACACGATTAGCTCACTGTAGTCTACCAAGGTGATTAGCTCACTGTAGTCTACACAAGGCAATTAGCTCACTGTAGTCTACACAAGGTGATTAGCTCACGGTAGTCTACACAAGGTGATTAGCTCACTGTAGTCTACACAAGGTGATTAGCTCACTGTAGTCTACACCAGGTGATTAGCTCACTGTAGTCTACACAAGGTGATTAGCTCACTGTAGTCTACACAAGGTGATCAGCTCAATGTAGTCTACACAAGGTGATCAGCTCACTGTAGTCTACACAAGGTGATCAGCTCACTGTAGTCTACACAAGGTGATCAGCTCACTGTAGTCTACACAAGGTGATCAGCTCACTGTAGTCTACACCAGGTGATCAGCTCACTGTAGTCTACACAAGGTGATCAGCTCACTGTAGTCTACACCAGGTGATCAGCTCACTGTAGTCTACACCAGGTGATCAGCTCACTGTAGTCTTTAAATAAATGGTTGGGTAATTAAGTCCATCATTATCTGGTTTGAGTGAGATTTGTAGGTTGATGAAGATTTTTCATTCTGATTTATTATTTGAAATGTTTTAGTTCATTTTTCATCCTACGACCTAATATGGTCACACAAAATATTTTTTTCTTCAGAACAATTAATGAATAGCTAATATTCTATTACATTTAAAATGAAGAAAACTTATGAGACAAATTGAGTATTTTGTTGCAGACAATCAGGGGATATATATTATATATTAATTTAATTATTTAACTTTGAAAATTTATTTTTTCAAACCTTTTAGCAACTTCAAAAAAAAAAGTTATCTCCCCTTCAGACATGTCTCCCCATCTAAGGTTTCAAATCTGTAAATCTGCCAGCCAGCTGTTTAACATATCCAAATCATGCTTAAGATAGAGACATTTGTACTGGATGGGAAATTTATATGCCTTCATTTTACCTGCATTACACTATATTGGTTTCACTGTCAATAAATTAAACTGTCTACCTGATTCTGTGTCTGTGTGTCATACAAAGGAATAAAACCTTACTAAGATTTTGTCATATATCACAGGTTTTACACCTGCTTCTCTAGGGAAAAGAAATCATTTTCCAATACATGAAAAAAGTATTAATTTTCTTCATAGTTATATTGACATGTCTGTATCTCTATAGTTACATTGACATGTCTGTATCTCTATAGTTATATTGACATGTCTGTATCTCTATAGTTATATTGACATGTCTGTATCTCTATAGTTATATTGACATGTCTGTATCTCTATAGTTATATTGACATGTCTGTATCTCTATAGTTATATTGACATGTCTGTATCTCTATAGTTATATTGACATGTCTGTATCTCTATAGTTATATTGACATGTCTGTATCTCTATAGTTATATTGACATGTCTGTATCTCTATAGTTATATTGACATGTCTGTATCTCTATAGTTATATTGACATGTCTGTATCTCTATAGTTATATTGACATGTCTGTATCTCTATAGTTATATTGACATGTCTGTATCTCTATAGTTATATTGACATGTCTGTATCTCTATAGTTATATTGACATGTCTGTATCTCTATAGTTATATTGACATGTCTGTATCTCTATAGTTATATTGACATGTCTGTATCTCTATAGTTATATTGACATGTCTGTATCTCTATAGTTACATTGACATATTAGATATGGATACTAACAGACAAACATCATTATACCACTTTTATTTTATTGATGATCCTGCAAATGTTGGGAAAATCAACATCAGGAATTTTCAGAGTACCCAAAGTGAGAGATTGTAAGCATCTAGTTTGGTATTCTGACCATCACTGTGATATGTACAAAGTGAGAGAATGTAAGCATCTAGTTTGGTATTCTGACCATCACTGTGATATGTACAAAATGAGAGATTGTAAGCATCTAGTTTGGTATTCTGACCATCACTGTGATATGTACAAAATGAGAGATTGTAAGCATCTAGTTTGGTATTCTGACCATCACTGTGATATGTACAAAGTGAGAGAATGTAAGCATCTAGTTTGGTATTCTGACCATCACTGTGATATGTACAAAGTGAGAGATTGTAAGCATCTAGTTTGGTATTCTGACCATCACTGTGATATGTACAAAGTGAGAGATTGTAAGCATCTAGTTTGGTATTCTGACCATCACTGTGATATGTACAAAATGAGAGATTGTAAGCATCTAGTTTGGTATTCTGACCATCACTGTGATATGTACAAAGTTAGCTGCTGGAAAGACAAATGGTACAGCATTATTCAAACAGACATGATTTCAGAGTTTTAAAATACGATCCAGATTAAGCTGTCCTGTTGGAGCTTGTTAATTAACATAATGTTTACAGAACACCTTGTGTAGGTTGTGATGGTGATTGAGGCAGCTTATCATCCTTCAGGTGGCAGATAAATTATCTCCCCTTCATGTATGAATACTGTAATATGATAAGTGCTGTATTTAAACATTCAACATGTTCATTAAGAGTATGCTGAGTCTGGTAAAAAAAAGAGAGAGAAAAAATGTTTTAAAGTTTTAATCATTTTTCACATCTATTTAGAGAAAGAATAAGTTTAATGAAAGACTTTTCAATTTTCATGAATCTGAAGAATTAGAATCTCGCTCTGTGTCCCCAGGCAACAATAACTTACTAAAATAGACCTTAGTCATAGCTTCTTTATGTAGTACAAAAAGTGAATAAGAAAATTTGGCTTTATTATATATATATATATATATATGTGTGTGTGTGCAAAAATTGCAATTAGGGTACTTGATAGCAAGCAAAGCCAGATCGACAGGGACATTAAACAAGGTTTCTTAGTTGTGTAGAGGCTGTTGAAGAATATCTCTGATTTGAGGTACATCAGAAAATGGGATAATTGACACTCTAATTGAAAGGAAGAAGTTTGTACAGTATGACAGACCCTCGAGAGATACTTCCTCCCTCACAAAAGAGTTCTCATCATAGGAACTTAATAACATCCAATTAGAGAGTGTTTTGTTCTTCAGACAGGATAACTTATTATTTTCTCATGTTATTTTTCCTGCGGTATGAGAGAAAAAAGACAAAGTTGTCGGCTTTCTCAGTAGTCAGTGCCTCTGGAAATCTTACCATTTGTATCTTCCTGAACTGTCTCCAGACCAGATGGGAAGAAAAGATACACAAATGAAACTGATAGAAAATCAATAGCACAGGTAAAAACAATAGGTCTCTATGTTGGTCACCAACACTGGAAATTACAGATCACAGTGATGGCCATGGTAAAATACCATCTGTACATCAATGATACACATGTTTTACTGTAAATCATCTTGTCTTATTTTCAAGGATGGGGATTATCTATCAAATATCCAAAACTTGTCCATCGTGTACAAAGACATCACAAACCAAGTAATCAAACTCCTCCCTTCAAACCCACCAACCCAACACTATGAAAATCTAGAAAAAAAACATCAAAAAGATACTTTATTGATAAAAGATACTTTATCTATCATAACTTGCTTCAAATGTAGTGAAAAAAATGCAAATTTGGTATTGAAATTAAGATATTGATTTCCTTATACATAAAATAACTGCATAGGAAGTCAAAATATGTAAAGTAAACCTGAAATCCTGTGTTGTGTGGTAGTGAAGTGTAAACTGATAAAACTACATCAGTGTTGTGTGGTAGTGAAGTGTAAACTGATAAATCTATATCAGTGTTGTTTGGTAGTGAAGTGTAAACTGATAAATGTATATCAGTGTTGTTTGGTAGTGAAGTGTAAACTGATAAATGTACATCAGTGTTGTGTGGTAGTGAAGTGTAAACTGATAAATGTATATCAGTATTGTGTGGTAGTGAAGTGTAAACTGATAAATGTATATCAGTGTTGTGTGGTAGTGAAGTGTAAACTGATAAATGTATATCAGTGTTGTGTGGTAGTGAAGTGTAAACTGATAAATCTTGTTTGGTAGTGAAGTGTAAACTGATAAATCTATATCAGT